CTCTTGCCACTCCTTATTCCGTAATCCATCAAATCTTTACCCAAAACTTCAAAACTTCACAACACAAAACTCAACAGAAAACTCGTAAGCTCCGTTAGTGCAAGAAAACAAACCACCACTTTAAGGTATTGTAATGAACTCATTACTTATTTATATTGGTGTTAAACCTATTGTATTCCAACTTATCTATGGTTCATACCCCCCGATACTAGCCATAGATTCATCAAAATAAGCAAACAACACACGAAAAACAGAATCTGTCAAAAACAGAACAGTCTGTAGCAATCTGTAACTTTCGAATACTTCTGGAACTCCAAAAATCCTACCAAAACAGGAAGTCCTAGGAAATTTATCTATTAATCTTATGCAAAAATAATCAACTAAAAATCACGTTCCTGTTATTTATTAAAATTATTCTCGTGCGTGCAAAAGTTTCTGTTTTTCAGCAAGATCAAATTAACTTTCACCGTAGGTTATCCTATAGGTTCTACTTGGCACAAACACTAATTAAAACATAAAACCACATCTAAATAGAAGCTAGCTGAATTATTTAATACTAAACATGAGCAAAATGTAAAGAACAAAAATAAAATTGGGTTGCCTCCCAACAAGCGCTATCGTTTAACGCCCCTAGCTAGGCATAAAAGCGAGAATAGATCTAGGTATTGCCCTCTTTGGTATTTGTCTTTTTAATGGAGTTATGCTCAGATCCGGGAGGTTCCTTGCGTTTTCCCTCATGCTGGGACATCTTTAGATCTAGAGCATCCAACCGCTTATTGCAAAGTGTAATCAAAGTATTCATGCGGTTGAGATTCCCACCAACATTTTTAAGAGCTTCAATAGATTTTTGCAATTCACATAATTTCTCTAAGATTTGGGTCCCTTCTTGAGTAAGGGGTGGTCCCTTTTGTAGGGGAAGTACTCCCACTATCCCCTCTATAATCTAATAAGCAAAACTAGGATCAATTTCAATAAAATTCCCTTTAGCCGCAAAATCAAGGAGTTGTCTATGGGATATGGTTAGCCCAACATTAAAATTGTGAAGCAAAATCTTGAAATCTCCTTCTAAATTGCAACTACGATAGGATTCTAACATCCTATACCAAGCATCTTTTAAGTTTTCTCCTTGTCTTTGTTTGAAGTGGAGGACTTCAAAATCGGGAGAAGAAGGAAGGAAGACAGAGCTAGCCATGACGACGAACGATGACACAAGAAGCAAGCGAAAAAGAGGCGAACGGGAAAAACAAGGCGAATAAAACGACAAGGGTGAAGTAGGGGAGAGGAAAACTAGAGGCAAATGGCGAATAATGTAATGCGAGGGAGAAGAGTTTGTGATGGGTACTTGGTATGTCTTGATTTGTGCATAGACCTCCCCGGCAACGGCGCCAGAAATCCTTCTTGCTACCTCTTGAGCACTGCGTTGGTTTTCCCTTGAAGAGGAAAGGGTGATGCAGCAAAGTAGCGTAAGTATTTCCCTCAGTTTTTGAGAACCAAGGTATCAATCCAGTAGGAGGCTACACGCAAGTCCCTCGTACCTACACAAACAAACAAGAACCTCGCAACCAACGCGATAAAAGGGGTTGTCAATCCCTTCACGGCAACTTACGAAAGTGAGATCTGATAGAGATAATAATAAGATAAATATTTTTGGTATTTTTATGATATAGATTGGAAAGTAAAGATTGCAAAATAAAGTAGATCGGAAACTTATATGATGGAAAATAGACCCAGGGGCCATAGGTTTCACTAGTGGCTTCTCTCAAGATAGCATAAGTATTACGGTGGGTGTACAAATTACTGTCGAGCAATTGATAGAAAAGTGCATAGTTATGAGAATATCTAGGCATGATCATGTATATAGGCATCATGTCCGCGACAAGTAGATCAAAACGATTCTACATCTACTACTATTACTCCACACATCGACCGCTATCCAGCATGCATCTAGAGTATTAAGTTCATAAGAAAAGAGTAACGCATTAGGTAAGATGACATGATGTAGAGGGATAAAATCAAGCAATATAATATAAACCCCATCTTTTTATCCTCGATGGCAACAATACAATGCGTGCCTTGCTACCCCTGCTGTCACTGGGAAAGGACACCACAAGATTGACCCCAAAGCTAAGCACTTCTCCCGTTGCAAGAAAGATCAATCTAGTAGGCCAAACCAAACTGATAATTCGAAGAGACTTGCAAAGATGACAAATCATACATAAAAGAATTCAGAGGAGATTCAAATATTTCTCATAGATAATCTTGATCATAAACCCATAATTCATTGGATCTCGACAAACACACCACAAAAAGAGTTACATCGAATAGATCTCCAAGAAGATCGAGGAGAACTTTGTATTGAGATTCAAAGAGAGAGAAGAAGTCATCTAGCTAATAACTATGGACCTCACACTTCATCGGAGAGGCTATGGCGTTGATGTGGAAGCCCTCCGTGATCGATCCCTCCTCCGGTGGAGCGCTGGAAAAGGCCCCAAGATGGGATCTCACGGGTACAGAAGGTTGCGGCGGTGGAAATAGGGTTTCGTGGTGCTCCTGGATGTTTTCAGGGTATGTGGATATATATAGGCGAAGGAAGTCGGTCAGGGGAGCCACGAGGGTGGGGCGCGCCTCCCTGCCTCGTGGCTTCCTCGTTTGCTTCTTGAAGTCCACTCCAAGTCTCCTGGATTGCGTTTGTTACAAAAATAACTCTCCCGAAAGTTTCATTCCGTTTGGACTCTGTTTGATATTCCTTTTCTGCAAAACACTGAAATAGGCAAGAAAACAGCAATTTGGGCTGGCCCTCCGGTTAATAGGTTAGTCCCAAAAATAATATAAAAGTGCTTGGTAAAGCTCATAAACATCCAAAACGGGTAATATAATATCATGAAACAATAAAAAATTATAGATACGTTAGAGACGTATCATCCTATGCTGAGCTGACATCATCCATGAACATATCTGGAGTCTCCTACTCCGCCCCTTGATTTAGTGCAAAAATTAGGATGCTAGCATTGAACGGTTGTTGCACGGATGCAAGCAATTCTGCAACCCAATGGCCAGGTCAAATTATTTAACTAGTACTCCGAGCAATTCCACAATCTAATGGCTAACACCTTAGGGACACTCCAATGTAGGTCACCTATTAGACAACATCAAATGTTCACGGACACGTACAGACGTGTTCACAAACAGCGGGCCAGGCAGAGGCAATCCGACCATATCCACCAAATGTTCGCCTAAGGGCAACTCCAATGCAGGTCACCAAATCGACCACAAATGTCTGAACTAAACGCTCCAAACACTTTTAGCCATCCAACGACTATCACCAAAATTGTTTGGACTAGTCCAGACATAAAAAATCCTGCAAACCGGCACCAAACGATGCCCTCCACGTCGGACGTCAGACTCCAACACCCCAGACCCACCAAAAACCCTCTCTCGCCGTGTCCGGCTTGACCACATTCACTTCGGCGGACCGGCCTCACGCCTACCAACATTCAAGGTGGTACGACTACCGTGAAGCTTACTCTGGCTTTGCCAGCCGGGCTCCTCCTACGCAAACTCCTACCCGCACAATCCTTATCCTCTTCACACATCCACTGGCTACACACACCTCTGACCATCGTGATGGGAAAGAAATCTGACGCCAAGGAGTGGTCATGGGCGTGTGACTCCCGATCCGGGGGTAGCTCCGAATCGAGTTGGTGTTGGCACCCATAGTCTTCGCTGGCCTTGTCGTCCACAGTTTCACTCCCAGTTACCATGCGGGTTCCCTTGCGGACTAGGTGCCACTCATGAAGGAGGAGGAACAGATGTTTGATGAGGAGCAATCGCAGGAGGTGGCCGCCCTCATCGCCTGGGAGGAGGAGGATCGACTTATGCGCTAGAGGCCATGTGGGAGGATCCTGCCTTCGGTGAGTACCCGGTTTGGAATTACAAAACACACTTCATTGTGTGGAATATCCAGCATGGCTCTATGTTGATCCTCTATGAGAAGCAGGAGAGACCACGCCCGCACAACTCATAGTGGCCACCACGTGCTCCAGATTGGACGATGACGGCTCGGACGGCGGCGGCAATGGTGATGAAGGTGCCTTGGCCTCGGAGACCACCTATCCACCACTACGAGGTCACCGTTTAATACCTCACCAAGTTTTAGTTAGGATTAGTTTAAATTCAATTGTTTGAATTTTGTCCATATGGTTATAATATACTCCCTCAGACACTTATTTTGGGACGGAGGGAGTATCAAACTTTGTTTGAATTTTGTTTGTCCTTTTCATATGACCCGGATATTTGGTGACTGATTGGATGACGGTGCAAACATTTTGTTCCATAAATTTGGTGATCCTAATTAGAGTTGCCCTAGAGGACTATGTATGGGATTTAGACGTCGGGACCAATACAAACAAATTTGATGAGCCTTGTTCGATAGCTATAAAGTGTTCGGACCAATGTTTACTGGCGTTTATAACGGTTCAACTGAGTTGCAAGTAGACTCAAACAGAAAGACCGAAGACCCACCAAGCACACGCCGCCCTCTCTGTTCCTGAATGATACTCCTACCCGGCCCGCTCGTGCGGCAATGCCTCGTCCTCCTCCACTCCAAGAACGCGATCCCCCTCGCTCCCAACACCACCGCCCAGCTCCACGCTCTCCTCCTAACGTCCGGCCACCTCCACTACAGCAGCATCCATCCCCTCTTCATGCTGCACTGCGCTAGCGGCCGCCCCTCCGACGCCCACAACCTGCTCGCGCAAATGCCCCACCCACCTCCGGTCTCCTTAACGAACTCGCTCCTCCGCTCCTATACCGGCCTTGGCCACCACAGGGAGGCCGTCGCTCTTTACTCGCGGATGCGCGGCTTCGACCACCTCACCTTCCCCTTGGCCGCCAAGGCCTGCGCCGGCCTCCGCCTCGGCCGCCACGGGCGTGCTGTGCACTGTCGCTCGCTCACCGCCGGCTTTGGCGGAGACGCGTACGTGCAGAATGCGTTGATATCCATGTACATGAGCTGCGGCGATGTTGCCGAGGCGGAGGTGGTGCTTGGTGCGATGCAGAACCGTTCGGTCGTGTCCTGGAATGCGGTGATTGCTGGGTGCGTCAAGAACGGCTGTGCAGAAAGGGCGTTGGAGGTGTTTGGCGAGATGGTTGGTGATGGTGCCGGGATTGACCGTGCCACAATTGTGTCTGTACTGCCAGCTTGTGCGCGAGCCAAGAATTTGAGCATTGGAAGAGCTGTGCACCGATTGGTTGAGGAAAGAGGCTTGGCGGACTATGCAGCGGTGAAGAACGCGCTGATTGATATGTATGGGAAGTGTGGGAGATTGGAGGATGCACGCAGGGTCTTCGATGGACATAAATATGACAAGAATGTTGTTTCTTGGACAGTGATGATTGGTGCGTACGTGCTGAATGACCGTGTGGACGAGGCCTTTAATCTTGGTTTTGATATGCTCATGACTGATGGTGCACCATGGCCGAATGGAGTGACCATGGCGTATCTACTCTCAGCTTGTTCCAGCTTGCCATCATGGAGGCGTGCCAAGTGCATACACGCAATGTGCATTAGACTTGGGCTTGAATCAGACATCGTTGTTGAGACTGCACTTATTGACACTTACGCTAAGTGCCATAAGGTGAAGATGATGGAGTTGACACTTAAAAATGGCTCATGGCGGACAGAAACATGGAATGCAGCTATCTCTGGTTATAGTCGCAGTGAACGGGAGAAGAAAGCTGTAGAATTATTTAAGCGGATGATTGGAGAATCGGTGCGCCCAGACTCTGCAACACTTGCAAGCATCCTCCCGGCGTATGCAGAATCTGCGGACCTGAGACAAGCAAAGAACATCCACTGTTACTTGCTAACTCTTGGGTTTCTTCGGAGCACAGCGATCAGAACTGGTTTAGTCGATGTGTATGCCAAGGCAGGTGACCTGGACATGGCATGGACACTCTTCGACGGGCTACCTGAAAAGGATGTTGTTGCCTGGACCACCATCCTTTCTGGGTACGGTATGCACGGGCATGCCCGAACTGCCATCCTGCTATATGACCGGATGGTGGAGTTGGGGGTGAAGCCGAACACCGTGACCTTCGCCTCCCTGCTGTACGCTTGCAGCCATGCAGGCTGGATAGACAAAGGCCTTCAGCTATTTGAGGACATGCGTGGCATTCATGGCGTGGTGCCAAATATCGAGCACTACCTGTCCCTGGTCGACATGGTTGGGCGTGCTGGGAGGATCAAGGAGGCCTACTGTCTCATCAAAGATATGCCATTCGAGCCGAGTACATCGGTGTGGGGTGTTCTGCTGGGTGCTTGTGTTCTACACAAAAATGTTGAGTTTGGGGAGATTGCGGCGAAGCATTTATTTGAGCTTGAGCCGGACAACACCGGGAATCATGTGCTCCTTGGGAACATATATGCTGCAGCTGACAGATGGAACGATGTTCAGGATGTCTGGAAAATGATGGGAAGAAAGGGCCTCATCAAAGAACCGGGATCTAGTTTGGTCGAGGCATGGTCTGAACAATGCCGAACAGCGATGTTATAGAATGTAAGTCTTGCACTCGTGTCAGATATATCAAAGCGATTTTTTCTTTACACGACACCATAAAAAGGAAGTGTTTTTTAAGAGTAAATACACACCATCCCATCTACCCTTGTTTTGATGCTGCAACGATTTTTCTGAGGGAGGGTCTGTCTATTATAGGGACGGGTGGTAGCGCGCATGTTGGTTGGACACAAAAGTTTCTGGTTCTCACACACCAAGGAGGGGCCATGCTTGGTCAAAAGCCCCTCCCCGGACGTGGTGGCATCATACAGCAGGCCTCCCTATATTTTGCCTCCGCTCTCCTCTCTTTCAGGCCTTCAAATCTTGCCCCCGCTTGCGGCTGCACATCCCCCCTCCCTTCCTTCCTCTTCCCCTCGCCACACCCCTGTTTGCTTCTCAACCCGAGAAAGGAAGGAAGGAAACAAGAGAAAGCATCAACCATGGTGAGTAGGGCCCAATCTCATTCTTTCACAATGCTGTTCAAGGAACCGTTCCCTTATAACGGGGTATGTGTTAACATGTTATGGGGATTCCTTGTTGCAAGTCGAATTCCGCGTCAGGAATGGCCGTTTGCGACGACTGCAAACTCAAGTTCCAGGAACTCAAAGCGAAGAGGAGCTTCCGCTTCATCGTGTTCAAGATCAATGAGAAGGTGCAGCAGGTGGTGGTGGACAGGGTTGGGGAAAAAAACGAGAGCTACGATGATTTCACAGCCTGCTTGCCCGCTGACGAGTGCCGCTACGCAGTGTTTGATTTTGACTTCGTCACTGATGAGAACTGCCAGAAGAGCAAGATCTTCTTCATCTCTTGGTAACACCTGCTTGGATCACAGATATTGTTTGTTTATTTTTTTAAATGATCATAGAGTGTTTCATTTTCATAGTAGTTCTGATTCAATCTTATGAAAGGCAGTTGCTGGTTCAAATTTATGAATTTGGATGGGATTCAGTTTGATAAAATCACCTCTGCATGTTAGATCAATGCATTTCGATATTTAATTTTATTTTTGATCATTTTTTCTACAAGCAATAATTGAACACACCCTTTGCCACTTCTGGAGCAAATTAGCACATTTATTCCATTGTCCACAAAAAGTTACAGATTTGTTTCATATTACACAGGTGTCCAAAGCCTGTAATTTTGTTAGATCAGCTTGCAAAGGAACCGGGAGGACACTTACTAGCTTATTTACCACATGAGAAATGGAAACAGAAATCCAACGTAGGAAGCATGGATTTTAAGAAATTAATATTAGAATCTCAAGAACTTGGTATTAGAATTATGAATTCAAATTTGTGTACAGACCGTAACGCCAAGGAGGACATGCCTTGATCTTTTCCCCGTATTATACATAATGAATCGGCGGTTACGGTCTGTAGACTGTACACAAATCAGCGGTTACGGTCTGTACACAAATTACATGAACATAGACCGTTTCTTCTAACAAGCTGCTTCCTGGTTTCAGTGCTCCGGAGTCTGTACATAACGAATTGTCTGCAATATCGTAAATCCTTAAGCATGATCGTGTAAATGCACGACAAAACAGAACTGGTTCCTGCTACTTTCAGCCGAAAACTGAAGCAGCGTTTTGCGCATCCTGCTGTTTCTTCCGCAGGGCTCCTGACACATCAAGGGTGAGGAGCAAGATGCTGTACGCGAGCTCCAAGGACCGCTTCAAGAGGGAGCTGGACGGCATCCAGGTGGAGCTACAGGCAACCGACCCGAGCGAGATGAGCATGGACATCGTAAAGGGGCGAGCCCTCTGAAGAAGAAAACCCAAGCCCAGCTACTTACTACGTACACCGACACCCACCCCAGGAGCAGGAGCAGAGGAGGGCCTTGGTCTGCACCGGCTCCTGTTCTTGCAGTTCCTCCCCATCCATTTTCCCTGTCATTCTTTTCCTGGAAGCAAAGTGTTGTGTTCTGTATGAGACTGTATGCCGTCTTCATTCTTGTTATCCCCCGTGTTTGGTGCCATAGTCTCTGACTACTGCTGTAAACTTAGAACATATTTGCATTTGATGCCTGGTGTGAAGCCTAATGTGGCGTAGGTAACCGCCGATTTTCACAAAAGAAGATTTATTTATCTCATCTGTTGTTCTTGTTCATGTACTTCCCGATACTGTGATCTGTCTATATATTGATCAGGAACCTTTGCCGTCGCAACAAATCATATTTTCGGGTGCAAATAGACATGCCCAGATTGCAACAGATGCGTAATTTGTTCCTTCAAGTAACTGTACTACATTGTTTCTGGGCAAGCATAGATTAGACTGATTTCCCCCCAAATAATTGTACATTGTTCCACAAAAGCTGGAACAGAGACGATTCAAGACCTCGAATCCATCCTCGGACAGCATCTCCTCCGGGATCAGCTTGCGCAGCCAGCTGCGCAGCCCCAGTTTCAGCGGCGGCATCGTGGCAGCGAGCGGCAGGGAGGTGAGTCCCGGCCACGTTGCGTCGTCTGGTCGTTCCGAACACCCCGAAGATAGTCCAGAGATAGGCGAACTCCTCGGGGCAGTGCCACGCGCCGCAGCAGTACGTCGCCGCTGACGAGCTCCGCCATAACGCGGCCAGCGACCACGCGTCCGTGAGCGCGTCGTAGTCCGCCCTCCCATGAGCATCTCCGGCGCGCGGTACAGCTTCGTGCCGGCCTGCATGCGCGGCGGCTGCTCTGCTCGGTTTTCCGACATGGCCAATCCGAAGTCGCAGATCTTCAGGACTTCCCCGCCTTCCAAGACGAGGACATTGCCGGGCTTGATGTGCGCGGTGGACGATGCGGCGCTCCTGCATCCCCTTGGCGCCCGTCAGGAGCAGCCGCATAAAGGCCCGTACGGTGGCCTCCGGGAGCCGCGCGCCGCGTTTGTTGTAAACATGTCCCCGAGCTAATAATAAACCCAAATGATAGTGCCCACATTTATCGCATATTTGTACTTCGCCCACACGCGTTGATACACATTGATTCTGTTTTGCACGAAGCCTAAAGAAATATGTTAGATTTTTTGGTGTTGGAGAGTTCGCCCACACGATCCGCAAACACGCAGTTGACAGCTGCGTCGTGTGGACGAACCAATTTTTGCCTACAGTCATCACCTATTCCACGCGTGTGTGGGCGAACTGCTCTTCGCCCACACGACACCCGTACGTTGTTAGATGGCAACTGCTGCAGTTGTGCGTACATGGCAACTAAGTAAACACAGATGGCAACTATGATTCGTTGCTAGATGACAACTGCAATTATGCGTATGTGGAAACTAGGTAAACACACATGGCAATTGTGATTAACCATACATCACAACTATGGTTGGATCACACATGGCAACTAGTTAATCATACATGGCAACTATTGTTTGACCATGTAGGACAAGTAGTTTATCACACATGGCAACTATGGTTCGAATACACGTGGCAACTGTCGCTACTTAGACATGGCAACTACATTTTGCCATCTCGGGTGACTAAAGTTGCTATCACCGGGGAAACTAAAGTGTCATCCCACGAGTGCGTCAGGACATGTGGGCAGATTTGCTTCGTGCCACACACGCGGGATGAGAATGAGTTGTAATTTGTTAGGCGTGTGGCACGAAGTAGCTGCGCCCACACGTGTGGGCAATTCTAATTTCGCCCACATATGACCCGTGTGGGTTGCCTCCTGCTTACACCATACATGACGTGTGGGTGGATGTCTAATATACCACACGGGTGGGCGTTATCACCGTCCATAATAAAAGGACGCTGATAACACCCACACATATGGTGCGAGCAACACCCGCCCACATGCCCAACACATATATTGCGTCACGTCATCGATGTGGAAATCTTTTTAGATTTTCAGTTTTTAAAATGTTTTATCTTTTAAATGAAAAATCCGATTGAAGATCCGTTTTCACCATTAAATCCGTCGCGACGAGATCTTCGAAACTAGATCTCATATCAATATGTTTCAGTGACTTTTTCGGTTAAAAGTTGGCATGTCTATTGCACATGAATTGCCATGTTGTTTACACTGAAGTTGTCATGATATGTTTTATCTATTTTTTCTTCTACCTTAAAAAGTAAATTTTGACATATTATAAAATATGGAAATAGAAAACTAGACTTGTCATAAACCATAAACTAAAATTGTCATGGTAAATTACTTAAATTTTCCATGGTTCATACAAAAAATAATTTCCATGATCAAAGTATTGGAATTGCCATAATCTATAAACTAAAATTGCCATGATCTATAAACTAAATTTGCCATGATGGATTACTAAAAATTGCCATGATCCATGCATTAAATTTTTCGTGGTTAATTACAAAAAAATGCCGTAAAAAGTAGTTGAAAATACAACGATAGCTTTAAATCTAGAATAAAAAAATAGATAAAACATGTCATGGCAACTTTACTATAAACACTACGGCAACTACTGCGTAAACATCATGGCAATTTTTGGCCAATTTTTTTTGATCGAAACATATCAATATGGGATCTAGTTTTGAAGATCTCGTCGAGACCGGTTTAATGGTGAAAATGAATTTTAATTGGATTTTAATTAGGAGATAAAATATTTTTAAGCCGAAAACCAAAAAGATCCCACTGATGTCATCTGTTTTGACGTGGCAAAATGGATGGTAATGGAGGCGTTTGGGCCATGTTGCCTCGTGCCACACATGTGAGCGTTAACATTAACGTAATAAAATGATTATTATCATATATTCCGTTCATGATAAATGTTTTTTATTTATGCTATAATTGCATTGACCAAAAACTTAAATACATGTGTGAATACATAAACTACACCGTATCCCTATTAAGCCTCTACCGGACTAGCTTGTTGATTAAAGATGGTTATGGTTTTCTAACCATGGACATGAGTTGTCATTTGATAATGGGATCACATCATTAGAAGAATGATATGATGGACAAACCCATTCGTAAGCTTAGCATCAGATCATTTAGTTATTTGTTATAGATTTCTTCATGACAAGTATCGGTTTCTTAGACCATGAGATCATGCACCCAATGCACAACAATGACATGGCACATTGCTTTGCAAACCGGAAACGTGCTACATAGAGGTTCACGATGCGTAGCCCCCTCACTTCGAGCTGGTGGGAGGGATTCATGTTACGCACGTTCCCAAAATTTGATATGGAATCTCACCATGATCCACACCGTAACACACATGCCAAGATGAATCCACCTTTGGTCAAATGCCTCTCGTTGTCGGTGGAAACTAAAAACTTTTGTGGGCTAACCAATGGGCACGTCGCTGGTAACCGCATGAGGCAGTCCGAGAGGACCACCAATGCATGCATGTGGCCTGAACATGTATGTATCAAAGGGTTGTGTAACACTTTAATTAACCAATTCACGACTTTGATGTTTTGATGTGGCATATATATATATATATATATATATATATATATATATATATATATATATATATATATATATATATATATATACAGACGGTCTATTATGCTAATATTAGCAGAATAACTATTCTGCACACCACTTCGGCACTGCACGCTCAACAGGAGCGCACTGCATCATTTTGACGACGAGCACTGCAATAGAGACTAGTGAACTTCTCGTCGGAAAAAACTGCACGCGTTATTTTTTCAGTACTGTTTTCGCTCTAATTTTTTAATCGTTTGTCGAAATGAGGCGTGTAATATACCATTGAAAAGCTATGGATTAAGCGCAACTTCGACATGTTGAACACTTTTCGAGATTCCACACGGTTTAAGAGCAGTTTTGAAAATAGTGCGGCGGATGACGAGTGGCAGCGAGCGTTTTTTCGCGTTTTTTCTAAACCGTTTGTCGGAACGAAGCAAATGATACGTCGTTGGATAGATATCATCGAGGCGCATCTTTTTCATATATAAATCTTTCTATAATTCATTACGGTTTAAGAGCAGTTTCAAATTTACTAAATCACGGAACTTTGTTTTTCAAATTTTTTGAAATTTTTGGTACTGTTTTTGCTCTAGTTTTCTAACCGTTTGTCGAAACGAGGCGTGTGATACACCGTTGGAAAGCTACGAACGAGGCACAACTTTCATATGTTGAAATATTTTTGAAATTCCTTACGGTTTTAAGTTAATTTTGTAAATCGTGCGGCAGACGACGAGTGGCAGCGGCCGTTTTTGGTGAAATTTTTGCAAACCGCTGGTCGGAATGATTCAAACGATACGCCATTGGAAAGATATCGATGATACGCAACTCTTTCATGTAGAACACTCTCTCTAATTCATTACGGTTTAAGAGCAGTTTTAAATTTACCGAAATGCGGACACTCTGTTTTTCGCGACACCCAAATCGACGTGGGTACTTCATCCAACTGAAAACCGCACTGCATCGAAGGAAAGACCGCACTGCATCAAACGGGTAAGAGAACTGCATGGTTTCTTTTATTGAAACGTAATTTTTTTTCTTAGACGAGGAAGTGGAGTGCACTTCATATCGGGTGTAAGTGAACCTCATCAAGCGAAAAATGAACCGAGACACAAGGCTAAGTGTACCGTATGATTTTTCTTTGTCTTTTTCTAGCTTGTTTTCATCAGGTTAAGTGGACCATATTTGTCAATGTTAATGTGCTGCATCAAACGGGAAAGCGCACTGCAATGTCATCACAAAGGATTGCACG